AGCAACCTGCACGATAATAAAAAATAACACAATACTTTACCGTAGCAGTAAGTTAAGCACAGGGGCAGGGAACCTCGAAGCCAGAATACTAAGAGCATATTTTCATCTGAATCCTCAGGGAAACTCAGAGTCCCTTCAGGGGCAATTGCATAACAGCCCTCTGAAACACCTTTCGAAAATAAACTTCTGTACTGGGATATTCATAGCTCAAGGTTTCGTACGGATATACATTATTTAATTGGACGTATGAAGTATCAATACAATAAACAGAAATATATAAAATTGCCGGGAAGTAACATTTAAAGTTGCATTTTTCATCCCTACAAGAATGCATAACTTTGATTAACAGGTATTGTACAGCTCGTCGTTCAGCGACTATCATGCGACATATATACCACTATTGACTCTGTGATGGTGACACACCTTCAGCAGGGACGAGGAATGTCGTGACTGGCAATTTTTAATTGTTTTCTCTTCGCCGTTGGAAATTATAAATTTATTTTGCGAACTATTTGAACAGGCTGAATTCATTAAATATAAGTGTTTGCTTCCGAGTAGGAATAATTACGAATTGGAGTGTAGTGAAACGTTCATATGTTTTCATTAATGAGTAGTTTTGATACATTTTCTAATTTCTCTACAGAGCGCTTTGTTGCCAACATGATGCGCAAAACAAATGGTTCCGACAGAAGTTACTCTTTTATGATGGTCCTGAGAGGGACCTTTGAATTTGTTGGTTGTCCTTGAAAGGACCATTGAAATTCGACCGAAATCATCTGGAAGGAAATTTGCGAAGATTTCCAAATGTGATTCAACCCACGACTTTAGCCATCTCAACGACATGATATAACTATGAGCTGCACGTGTATTCACGCAATATACCGTGCCGAACCTCATCCGAAGATAGCAACTACCTTTCAATGCTTAAATGACTACGGACAATCGAAGTTCATAAATTTATTTCTTTCGCACAGTCTTTAAAACAGATGGAGCCACTTTTCATTGAAACTCGCTTTCAGAGTTGGGTATCTCCAACGACAAGCACAGCAAAGCACTCTCTTTCTTTCGAATGTTTCACGAATTTTACTACTGCCGTGTTGACTCTGAAATATGTCATTGTCGAGGTGTTCTTTGTTTAGTAATATTTGGAAATATTCTCGCCATCGGTTGTGAATATTATTCCCTTCGGTCAGTGCCATTCCGCTTTCGTCTTTTATGCAATTCACATTCCCGACCTCTTGTTCTTCTTTCTCTAGCCTTTGCTATGCCATTGATGTCTTTCTCTTCTTTCGTTGCCTCTTTTGTATAAGCTCTTACACGATGTAAACTTTGCTTCGGCAACGACTTTCTTTGCCCCACCTTAGATCTAGCACATTTTACTCCATATTCCGCGTCGTTTGATAACTTTCATTTTCTGAACAGCTCTTTCTTCTGTCGTAGAGTCCCTGCGCGTTCGCATTCAATCAGCACGTTTCTTTCTGGTTAGGTATTGTATCTTTTGTTTCTCTGATTAGACCTATGGCACTCCTTATGGTTATGTTGGCAATCCGCTCGCATATTTCGTCCGCTTTCCTGTTCCAACATTCTTTCGTCATTTTTCTCGTAATTTCCATTTTGAACGCTTCTTTCAGATTCACTTCGACCTTCCACCGCTGTATCTTCCGGGTTGTCGCCGTGCCCACCGTCTGATTGAATTATTTAGGAGTAAGGTATGGGACAAGTAGTTGCTGCTAGCGTGTGACAGCTTTCCACGTGAGAGCTTCAGAGTCTCTGAGTTCTTCAGTTCGTTTCTTCGGAGCAAGCGGTAGTCGATTTGGCTTTTCAGATGGCCTTCTCTTTTCTGGAAAAACATGATTGTCAGAGCCAAATCCAATGCAACTACCATCTGAAAACTGTCCTC